GGGTGTGGTGAGTCCTTCCTTTCCTGCCCCGGGGTATTGGCAGGGGGGCAGCGCCCTGCAACCTCCTGGGGCTGGCACAGGGACGGCCATGCCCGGCCGAAGCACAGCTGGTTTTGGGGGCCAGCAGCTCCCTTTGAACCCTGTCCTCCTCGCAGGCAGGCAGGGGAAGGGGTGTCCCTGCGGGCATCGCCACTGGAGAGTGCCCGGGAATAGCACTGTGCCACCACCACGTTGCCAGCGGGCACAGCTGGCACTTCCAGCCCCCTACGTGACCCAACCAGGGTGGGACACCCCACTGGGAAACCCACGCTCGGGGGATCCTCTTGCGGCTGTCACCCCATCTGCACGTTCCCAGCGGAGCATTGCATCCCATCCCACCGCCTCTGCCGGTGTCCCCACGTCTTGCGGTGGTCTGGAGCCGTATGCTCGTGGTGTGGGTCTCTCCGGCCGCAGCAGGACCTTCCTCGTCGCTCCTGGAACCTGGTCCCACCGGGGCCGAGCCAGGCCAGGGGCTGCCACGCTCCACTGGGAGCTGCAGGGGACTCGACAGGCACTGGGTGAACTGGTGGGACTGGAGGAGGAACAGGGCTCTACCCCAGAGCCCCGGCTCCGGGTCGCAGGGCTGGACTCGGGGCTGGGGGCAGCGGGGAAGGAGCAGGGACGTGCCACCGTCTGCCACCGCGCCGGGCAGAGGAGCGGGCGGTGGAGAGGCAGGATGTGTCCTCTCATCCCCTCCCCAGGTCTGTGGAGGTCCTGGGCACAGGATGGGGACACGGCTTGGGGTCGTGTGTCCTAATGACATGTTCTAATGCCTAAAATGAGGCACCTTCCCCTCCTGCGCTGCAGCTGCTTCGTGCCTCAGTTTCCCCCCTGGGACCGGGGAGGTCCAAAGCCACAGGGTGATGGAGGAGCCTGGGCAGGCTCCGGGCTGGGCTGTGCAGCAGTCTCGGTTCCTCTTCCCCCGGGGAGGCTGCGGCAGGGCGGTGAGAGCCACCAGGGTGCAGGGCCACACGTGAAGGACGGGGGTGTGCGGGGTGAGGGGGTGGGACAA